TCAGTGTAAAAAAGGGGGAAAACGAAAAGTAAAATGACTACACAGTACCACATTAACTTACCAGCTCAGGTCTCCTCATCTAAGCCTGTTTTCTCCATCACCCTCTTCACTGAGGCAGATGTGTCCTAGCGGCTGCTCCTGGAACAAGTCCTGACTGGTGGCCTCCAAGACAATGGAATTTGTATCAAGCAGCCACTAGAGCAGCCAAGCCAGCAACATCCCTCTGCGCCTGAAGCTCACCAAGGCTACCTGCCCTCTGCTGATGACTCCCCCAAGCATTTAGGTCTAATTTAGATGAAATGCTAGCTTCAGTTCCTCAGAGGTCTGAGGTGATGGAGGACGGAAACACTTTTTGTTGTTGAGGAAACATACATGCCTTGGTTCTGTTGCTATAAAAGATACATTTGTGTGTTGTCACTAAAAATACTTACTTCATTCTGGCACCCCCTGGGTGGGCAAAGAGGGAAGCACTGATGGTACAAAATACACCTGGCTGCACAGCAGTTCGTCTACTATAAAAACAATCCCTACACTCGTGGCATGTTCACATACAGAGACTCGTAGAAAATTATTTGGGACTGTTTTCTGAGTATGTGCGTGCTTCAATGATGTCTTTCACAAAGGAGATCTGCAATCCTCTCCAAAACTCCAAACATGAAGAAAACTCAGGGTTTGTATCTCGTCTTCTGGAAAATCTGTATTAGTCACATTCTCCCCCTCCAAGTCTCCACTACAGTATTTCTAACCCAGTATGAGAGCCAAGCACAGTAACTCAAGTTCAAGCAAGCACAAGTTCCTCTAATGAGTCTTCATGCACATTCAATCTTTTAATCACAAACCACTATTTTCTTCCTTCTTCCTTTTCTTCCCCCGTTCCTTTCTATATCTCTAACTCCTTTGCACCCATAGTTTTTCCCTTACTAAAGCTGCACTATTTTACTGGCTTGAGGGAAAGCACTTATATTATCTTGCTTTCTCCCCTCAAAACCAGGCATAAAATGGTTTAGAGACCAGGAAGAGGACAATATTTGAAGTGATGGAAATATTTTTACGCTTTAATTCAGCAACTGGGGAAAACCATTCAGGAAGAAGAAAACCGGAACAAGACAACTGGAACAAGACACATTCCTCTTCTCCCCTTGCCTGAATCCTTTGGTTCAGTATAATCATTGAAAGGACAGCTTCAGTAATTAGGATGAAGGAATGAAGGTGATCAGAGTAGACAAGATGGGAGCTCCTCTGTCAGGATGTTCAGCACAGAAGGAATGTGCATATTTTTCTGCTGAAAAAACATCTTCTAGGAGCATAACACATTTCAGACAGAGCTGCTTTGTAATTAACAGCTTAGAGCAAAGGCAAAGGCATGTCTAATCCTCGGTCTAAACCTGGGTTCAAATTACAGCAAAGACTTGAAAGCCACTGAAATATCAGACCTAAGAACCAGCCAGACACCTTTTACTAAGAGAACAGTTCTTAATTTGGCTATTCCACAAAATTGTAATGGAAAAGAACCTTAGATGTCCAAAGCAGAGGACTCAAAACACATGAACTGAAGCAACTGAAGCTGTATGCACAGTTTTGTCGGACTGCTCGTGCATTTTATCACACAGTTTTTAAGTACCAAACTGCATGAGGTTTCATGTAAGGTGTTTCTCATTCCAAGTGACTGAGTATTTTATTCTCTTTGCTTGATACAGTCACACACACACGGCCCAGAGCCCAACGTGAAAACTGACTTGGCAATCAGCTTTTCAAGGTGTTCATTATTGTGACACTAAAACGTTTTCACAATGCTGCAGTGGAGTGGCCCACTTCCCTTACCAAAAGAATGAAGGCCGAGAGATTTACTGAGGCAAAGAGATTAAAGTCACAAAGGCCAGCTAATTACAATCTTGCCTCTTGAATAGCCTGACTTTTCAGAATTATCTGTTCAAAGCAGACTTTAGCTGCAGCTATGAGCATTCTGCACATCTGCTCCCCTGACTGCAAATTTTCACTCATAATTTGAGGGAAGCACAATCCAAGCAAGGAGAACCTGTAAAAAGTGTGACTCCCAACACAAAATAAGAACATCAAACTCACTTTATCAGAGTGGTACTCAACTGCCTCAAACAGGAGACCACCTTTTTCCTTCCTATGATCTTCACTTCATTCCTTATACATCTTTCCTTTCTTCAAAGATATGAAGAGGCCCTACAAACAACTGCCCTCTTTTCACACACTCCCCATTCATTCCCTGAGCAGATTCAACCAGTAAACCATATGAAAGAGAATCTCTGTGGGAGGAGGAAAAAAAATTCAATCAAAAACTGTATCTGCAATAGCACTATACTACTAAAAGAATTCAGTTCCAAGATGCAAATGTAAATGAAGAAGTAAATTAGACATCTTTAGAAGAGATGACCAAAGGTTCTGGACTATTTATTTGTATTAAATTTCAGGAAGTTTTGGGACATCAGTGAACTGCTTTAAAACTGAACTGAAGGCTTTTAAAATACCAAAATAATTTTTAAAAAAGAAAAAGGAAGTAGCAAGGAGGGAACCAAATGCTGTCGCTCAGTCAGTATCATGAAGAAGACTCATTATTAAAAGATTATGCATTTTCACAGAGTCAGAAATTCAAGCAGAATGTAAAAAGATTAGAGCAGGCTGGGACAAGAACAATATAGGTAATCAGAAAACTGAAAAATATGTTATCCCAGGCAATTTTTTTTCTAAGTTAGCAGAAAGAAGGTTAAGATTTAATCAACTACAATCTACACAGGGAATAAACTTTTAATAAGGGGGCACTTTAACATGGCAGGTAAGAGGGTGTTAAAGGTGCAGTGACCAAATACTGAAACGGTGAAAATTAGCTACGGACACAAGTCAAAAAAGCATGACAGGAAAGCCTATCAGCAGATTAACTTACTGAAAAACGAGATGGATGCTCTTTGACTGTAAGTATTACAATTCATATAATATGATTTTCTGAAAGAAACTGCAGGTTAAGCATAGCTTAATTAAGCACAGCACAAACAGCAAACAGAGGAAAGTAATATTGCACCAGAAACTGAAAAAAGCCTTTAGAGCTTTATGGGTAAGCAAACCAGGCTAAACCATTGCTGCAAGGACTGTTTTGTTCTTTCCAACATCTTTGTAGCCAGAGTTTTTAAGGACTTTTAAATTGTGTCTGTTGCTTTCTGTTTTTAAGTAAGATACTTTACCGGTAACACTGATACCACCATACTAATGGAGAATCTCTAATTCAACTGCAGGACCACAAATCTCAGCTGAGAGAGGAAAATAAGTGTATCATTTTTTCTGCACACCTGTACTAGAGAAAAAGAGGAGTTTCCAGGGGTGGGTCAACTTTAGTTGGAAGTGACAAGGAGATCCAGAGGTGTTTGACTTTGGTGGGAGCACTTTCCAGCCACCAAGACCATCTACAGCTTCCTTTCTCTCCAGCTTGGTATCTACCAAACCCCTCCACACTCAGCACTGTATCCTGCTCATCTCTGCCTACCAGCTGCAAATCCCAACCTTTCACTCCTTTATCTTGACACTGCAGCTCATACCAAATATAATGCCCTCCAAGTAGGAAAACCCTGCATCCTCCCCATGCACTTACTGCTTATCCACCTGCTTCTTTCTCCTCTTGTCTAGCCCTTGTCCTCCCCACTGAGGAGCCTCAGTCACTTGCAGTCTTCTACAGTGGAATGAGAAAAGCACAAGAAGATAAATCTTTGCTTCTCTCTCACAATCTGCTTTCTCATCCAACTCTTTTTCCTGGCATTTGCATCCTCCTTCCTTGCAGTTCCTAGATCCTTGCCTGTTCAATTCCAACTTTCTCTGAAACTTATTATGGTTCTTAAACTTTCTTAATTTAATTTACAAGAGGTTTCCTTTCCTAATGGCAGAGGGAGCACTGAAGACACAAGGAATGAGACCCCTTTTCTTCAAATAAACACCTTATTAGCTCTGTGTTGGAAGAAACCCGGTGTAGCAAAATTTCTGAGGAGCCAAGCTCCAATGTTTCCAAGCATACACAAACACAGAATGAGAGATTTAACTTGGCCAGACAGAGTGAAGCAAAAGACACGTTACCAGAACTCCCACACTGTAAACACACCACCCCATCACTGTGCTACCCCGTCTCCAGTGACACCAGATCAGCAGGAAAATGTGCGAACAGCATTCATCAAAGAACACGTTAGTGGATCTTAACACATTAGTCTCTTCCTCGAGAAACAACAACTCTGATTAGTTTACTCGGCTGTTTTAAGAACACGTGGGTAAAACAGGCACTGCAAGTCTTATCCCCAAAGGGCAGAGTTTGACAAAGTTCTGAGCACCTTAGGGCAGGACGGTATCAAAGGAGGGCTCCCCGATAACGTTACCAACTCCATCAGCATTTACAGAGCTCCTCTTCGGCCACAAAAACAGGGATGATTGTAAATGGACAGCGAAGGAAGCTACCGAGACCACCGTCCCATAGATCCAAAAGTTATCTCTGGCTGACGCCCCCAGCCCTGCTGCTGACGTTTATCCCGGGAAACCACTGACAGTCCAGCTCCCGCTCCCGCGAGGGGCTGGAGCAGCACTGGGCTCCTTTCTCCAGGGACAAATCAGCCGCGGGGCCGCGGTGTCGGGGCTCCCGCAGCAGCCGCAGCCGAGCCCTGCCCCACGGCGGAGGGGTTGCCCGCACGGCCCGGGGACCGGCCGGCCGACAGCCGGGCCGGGCTGCGCCCGAGGCGCTAGGAGAGCCCGCGGGCGCCCCGGACAAGCGCTCGGCCCCCGCGGGGCCCCGCCCCTCGGCCCGTCCGTGCCCCTGCCGGGCCGGCTCCGGCGCGGCCGCGGCCCCGCCCCGCGGCTCTTACTGTCCAGGTAGTGCTCCAGGTACATTCCCGCCGCCATCTTGGCCCCGCGCACGGCGCTTCCGCCACCAACCGGACGCGCGCGCCCCCCGGAAGCGGCGCTGCCCGGCCGCGGAAGCCGCTTCCGCCCGTCCCGCCGGCCACTTCCGCCCGGCCCCGCCGCCATTTCGGGTCTGTGGGTCGGCCCTGGGCGGACCCCGCGAGAGGTGAACGGGGCCATGGGGGGAGTGGAGCATCGCTCTTACGGGGGAAAGGAGCTGTTCAGCCTTGAGAAGAGGCGACTGAGAGGGGACCTCATCAACGTGTATAAATACCTAAAGCGGGGCAGGGGGGAAGGGAGGGGGAGAGGATGGATGCAGGCTCTTCTCAGTGGTGCCGAGCAATAGGACGAGAGGCAAAGGGCAGAAACTGTTGCACAGGAGGTTCCACCTGAACATGAGGAAGAACTTCCTTACTGTGCAGTGACCGAGCATTGGAACAGGTTGCCCAGGGAGGTTGTGGAGTTTCCCCTCACTGGAGATACTCCAGAACCGGCTGGACGCAATCCTGTTCCATGTGCTCTAGATGACCCTGCTTGAGCAGGGAGGTTGGACCAGATGAGCCACTGTGGCCCCTCCCAACCTTACCCATCGTGTGCTCTGAGCGAGGAAGTGCTGTTGACGTGTTACTAGTGGTTTCCATTCACCATGGAATTCCCCAGTGAGGAGCAGCTGCTGCTGTGTCATAAATGAGACAGTCTTTGCTGTGAAAGGCTTATGGTACAACACAGCTAAAGAATGGAATGAAGTTAAGACCGTTTTCTCTTTTCCTTCCTCTTGCCAGTACCACCTTAGTGACCACACACCACAAGTCACTTCTGGGTTAGAGATCCTCGTGCCATGGAGTTCAGGAGCTTCCCCCGCTGTCCTTTGCTACCTGAAAAGTGGGGCATTGTGCTGGGTTAAGAGGGTGAGGTCATGTGTGATTATGAAGGAACTGAGACAAAATTATCCTACTTCTTTTGATCCTTAGGGTCTAGGATACGCAGGATTGATGTTTGAAGAGGTCGGCGTTAATCTACTATCCTATACAGTTTAGGAGGCACTGGTTTTGTTTGGCAAATACTACATTTCATCCACCTTTCTGCTGGGTACTCACTGCCACCATTTTTTTTGTTTCCGGACAGTCTGTACAATGACAGTCACTGCTCAGGACTGAGTGGTCCCACATTCTGGCCACGAGGAGAAGTGACTACATTTGGGGTTTTTTCCTCTTTCCTCCCAAAGATCTTCCAAGACAACCTGCCTTTATTTATATGGATATACTGGGATTAAGTCTTCCAGCAGCCTCCACTCCAAGACTGAGGAGCCTTTATATAAATGAATTACAGCTGTTTGAACTATCAACCCTCTTGTTGTTAAACTATTTGGTTAATTCAGAGATCCTCTGAGTTCTGAAGATGGTGTTTTCCATTCCTATTCCTACAGTCATTTAAGTTATTTATGACATATTTTTAATTATTCAAAACACATTTCTCAGTCTTTTCAGTTCTCATATGAAGCAGCTGGCTCCAGTTAGCTGAACGTTATTGTTAAGCCTCACTTTAAAATACTTCAAAATTCTTGTATAAATTGCCTTACACTCTTAATTAAGGGGAAGGATGTGGCTGTTACATAAAAAAAACCCTGCTCCCTAAACCAGAATCCCACAAATGCATCCTGCCTGGGGCTACGAGGCTAAATGGAGCTGATGTTAAGAATCAGACATTCTCAGACATCACTAATTTAGTTAAGAGACCACCTGGGAATCCATCTTACCCTCCAAGGCAAGGCTAGGAATGTGTCAAAATACTAGACCACTGAAGTGGAGAGACAAGCTCCCTCTGGACTTCTTGCCACTGCAGATACAAACTATAAGGAAAAGAGGAGACACTTGCCTAAAATCTAAATGGTAAATCTTAGTAAAATGTACAAATATGTCTAACTTCATGAACTGCCACTGTGAAGTTGGAAAACAAAGGGGAGAGGCAGTTTTGTGTGCCTGGGTGGTCTCACAGTAGTACAAAGTAGCAATCCAGCACAAACTAGTTCTTGAGTTCTGAATCTAGAAAATTTGCTATTTTTGCTTTCTTAGAAAGTCAAAGCATAGAGAAGTGCATCGCTCAGGGTTCCAGAAGCATCCTCACCTGCAGAGGGAGTGTTACCACGGTAGTTATTGGCCAGGGGTGTAATATTTTTTAGAGTAAACACTTCTGCAAGTCAGAGTCCTGGCAGGGGCACAGATGATTTTACAAGAAGGTGCTTCCCCCACTGAAATACGCTCCAGAGGACCACGGCTATTTATGTCTAACCCTCACCCAGCCTCATTCACTGATCCTGCCGTAATAACAAAGCCACAGACGCTAACCCTGGTGGTTATCACACTCCTCCCCCTCACCCCAGTTTGCTACCACAATTACATCCTGTTGTTAAACCCACAGGTACCTCCTCCTGGTTGGATGGAGGGGGAGGGCCTGTGGGATGAGCAGGCGTGCTGCCCAGAAGGCCTGCGCACCTCACACCGGGGAGCTGAGCGGCCTACGGAAGCAGTCTGCAGCAGTGGTTCTCAACCTTTATTGATCTACAGATGCCTGTGTTTTCCCTTGGAAATGTAAACATCTGCATACCAAATTCAAGCCTCCAGCTTTTCAGTTACCTTAGAGACCTCTTAAACGTTGTCCAAGGACTAGGAGGTGAAGGCCAGTGCTTGAGAGGGATCCTTATGCATCACCCAACAGGAAGGGCTATAGCTTCACACTCTTGTTTGGTTTCCTTTTTGCTGTAGAGGTACATTCGGCTCTTCTCACTCTTTAACATTCTCAGTTCAGAGGTCCCTGCTCTGCATTTCCTGTCTTCAGGAAACACTGGATGTACCCACACTTCATTCTCACAAATAGCAAAGGATTGATCTGCAGCACTTGCCCGCAAGGTGGTTAATCAGCTTTACAAATGAAAGAGTATGCCAAAGGCCACAGATTATACCTGTATCCATGTTTCAATAACATATCCTAATTCAGCAGCAAAACTAGGCATAGACTCTAGTTCTTTGGTGTCACGATTTCTTTTCTTCCATTTTTTTTTCCATTCATTACACAGACACTACATGAAATCGAAATGTTTGTTGGACCAAGTTACTACATCTCTCTAGTACTTTGGTGTTCTACTACACAGAAACAAGAAACCATGCACACAAATTTAATCTGTTGTACCTGAAATGACGATTGAACAGGTACCTATCTTGTAGTTAAGAAAGTGTACAGAGCAATTTCGTTCTATGTTCTGAAACTGCACTAGTAAACTTGGGCAGCTTTCAGGTACATTACCTGCAAAATATTAGAAGAAAATCCTAAACATGATATATATCCTTTAGATGATATAAAGATGATAAAATAATCAATAAAAATATAGAAGACAGGCAGAATCTCATAATTATATTCTATATTAGGAAGAAAGTTGGATGATGTAGACATATCTGTGAGGTAATGAAATATTACCTATTGCCAATAAGATTTAGGAAGATCTTTAGTTCTACCCATTAAATAAAACATCCTAAAAGTTGCATAGCTAGAAACTGACAATCTGTAATTTGAAAAGAATTATCTGGCAAGCAGATGGAAGCAATGGGCTTTCTTTTCCAAACAACTTTGAAGCTCTGAATGTGTTCCAGAAGACCAGCAAATACTTTAAAAGTATTTGAAAAGCAAATGGGCTCATCCAGGTTGCTGTAAGGCAGTTAACCTAACACTGACGTGGCAAAATCACAGTGTAATTGATAGGGGTTGCACTCAGCTAAGAAAAGAAGAAGTTTGGTGGCTCAGGATAACCATCTAGGTCTAATGTAGCAAGATGTGAAGTGAACACTACACAACCTGGTAACTGAAAGGGAAAAGAAAGGCAACAGATAGGAGATACATGATGGAGCCAAGCCTTAATGTGAGACACCTAAACCAGCTCATTTTAATTTAGCTGTTTGGAAGAATGAATGCAGTGACTTGATCGTGGTCTATAATTCATTACAGAAGAAGAAAGACTTCTTATAGAAGAAGACTTTAATGTACTGAACAAAGGCATAACAAGACCCTATGGATTAAAAAAAAAATATAGTAGTAAAACAGAATGGCAGTTTTAATGGCAGTGATAACCAACAGAAAAACTCTAATAAAGGATATGGTTGATTAACCATAAGGCTTTAAATTATGAAAGTCTTAAATCTTTCTTAAAGATTTAACTGAATTATAGACCAGCAATACTATCATTAGTCACAGCTAAGATTCAGTTACTGTTTGTGGGTGACTTTTCTAAACGATTTCCAGCCTACATGATGTTTCCTTTTAAAGCAATGATAATTTGTAAAATCCAGCTAAGAACAGACAATCAGCTCAGAAAAGGACAAGAAGAAAAAGTGCTACTGCCTTCCAGCAAAGACACAAGATGCAGCCTAACACAGAACTCCAAACATTGTCAAGTCTTCTTGGATAAGACATACAGAAACAAATGCATTGGCATCACAATGAAAATGCAGGGTCAAAGAACTCAGGGAGCTAAGAGGAAGGACCATGGGATCTTGTTAAGAGAGTCTTCCACTTGTGAGTGGGAGGTAAATAGTCGAACCATCGTTGGCTTGAGTGCACAAAGCTGAAAAGCTGCAGAACCTCAGGCTGCATCTCAACAGGGAAAAGGATTTTGTACAAGTTGTTAGTTTTTGTGTCTTGCAGGTAGCAACTCTCCTTTTTAAACCACCTGAAGCACTTTGACAATGTTAAACAACCTTGGGAATCCAAAGATCTAATCCAAACTCAAATAAGTGACAAAGATAATCAGAGTAATGTATCTCCAATTATTTCCACATCAGCAACAGGACTCAGGGTAAACAGAGGACATTCTCATTGATAAGAAAAAAAGAGGCCTGGAATAAAGTGGCATTTCTGAAACTCAGTGGGAAGTCCCTTAGTAAGAAATAATTAGGTTCTTCCTGGGCAACAGTAAAAGCTATAGGTACAGCAACAAGCTGCAAACACACAAGGAATAATATCTTTGAAATGACTGGTAACACAGGAATTGTACAGCCTTAAATACATATGGATCCCCATGCTAGGTAGCAAATTCCAAGAAGGGGAAGGATAGCAGACATTAGAAAACAACACAGCAAACCAGGGGCCTGGAAAGGCAATTTCAAGCACCTTTAACATATAAACCAAAAAATGTCTGCAAGGAATTTTAACTTGTGAGCCTGGGAATTCAACCAGTCGGCAAAGTATAATTCCGACTTTTAAAACCTTCCCAACTTAATACAAGACACTGCACCCAAGCCAAGTCAATTTTTCAGACTTCAAGGTGATGCATATGAGATGAGATAACTTGAGTGAAACTGGCAGTTTTGTCCTGTTCATATGGAATATGGACATGGAGAAGAGAGCCACAAGTAGTAATAAACCTGTGCCGAGTTTGTGCTAACTTCCAGGGTGAGCAAAACTATAAACTGAGTTGTCCATGAGAAAAAAAAAGAAATAAGGCAAAGAAATGTGAATTAAACTCTCCTGTGAGGAAAATCTTCCGTGTGGCCAAAAAGGCCCTAATTTCACAATGAAAAAGAGGAAACCTTTTGGTAAAAGCTCATCTTGGGTTCAGTGAGAAAGTCTGTGAGCAAGAAACAATTTAAAGAAAATCAAATTGAAACACAACAGATGGAAAAGATGAAGGCCAGACAGCAACTGACACAAGTTAGACATTATAAAATAACTAAAACTTTGTGGCTAGCAAAACTAGTCGTAACAGGATTTTTTTCTCTTTTAAATTAACAAAGAAATCTTACTAATAGTACTAATAGTACTGATCCGTGCTAGATGAAAATGGTGAAAATGCTAGTGACATAGAATAGAGGAAATCAGTCAACAAATATAAAGAAAAGAATAGGATGTGGCAGTCAAATGAAAATAGCAACTTCTATCTAGTACCTTAGTATCAAAGTAGGAGATGAGACAACCTCTACTAGGGATACGCATTTGAAGTCAGCAAAGAAACAGGAGTCCTAAAGGAGTTCACTAACAAGCTCTCTAGACCATTGATTCTCATTTAAATTAAAGTTGGGATATTAGAGAAATACCTTAAGACACTCACGGCAGTATTCCCAAAAGGCAAATGAAATGACTCAGTGTTAAAATCATGGAAAAGCTGTTGAGATGAAGAATTAGTGAATGAAAAAATAAAGTCTATAACCCAAGGATTTTATGAAATAAGAGATTTTGTAGTAAAATAAGAAAAGAAAAAACCCAAACCCTAACTTCATTCTTAGATGCCATCATTATACATTTGGTTTAACAAAGGGGACTGCATAGGTGCAACATACTTAAATTTTTATAAGGCATTGACCTAGCACCATAAGTCAGAAAGATTTACTGTACATAATCACATACTAAGAAGATTAAGAAATGCCTAGCCTGCAAGTCTCAAAAACAAGCTAATAAAAAGTTGCACTCAGTGATGCTTTTCAAGTTAGCGTAGGTCATATGCAATGCAGCATTTCAACCCGGATCTGAAAGTAAAAAATAACTGATACAGTTTGTGGGTCACAGAACTGGGAAAGCAGTGAGTAGCCTGGTCCATCACTCAGCCAGGTCCATTCACACAAACTGGACTTGGACACAGCCTCACGTGAAGCATCTAGGAAATAAGAACTCAGACCATACCTGTAGAAAGGGGGAAACACTATCATGAAAGGCGAGACTTCAGATGATTGAGGAGTCACACCAGACAAGCAGCCAATGTGAGCTCCTGTTTAACGCTGTGAGTACTGGGCAAACACAATCCTCTGCAGACTTAAGGCTAAGGGACCTCGTCCATGGCATTGGGGCTTCCAACACTCAAATCCAAAAGCAACATTTTTATAAGATACTGAAAAATTTGACAAGATGTAGAAAGAAAAGACAAGAATAATTTATGGGCTGGAGGAGATCCCTTACAGTGGAAGGTTTACAGAGTTTAATCTATTTAGCTTGTTAAAAAGTGGACTGAGAAGAGACATTAGAGTGTTTAAATACCAGTCCAGGGGAAAAAGCACCACTGTGCTCAGGCTCTCTGAACCAGCAGGATGCATGTATTCAGAACTAGTAACCAGAAGCCAAAGCAAGGAGAAATCTGGCGGAAATATTTAAACAGCAAGAACATGAAGCCCTTGCAGCAGGCTACCAACGGAAAGGATTCTGTGTCCCAGTGCCTCAAAAATCAAGCCAATAGATTTTGTCAACACATAGTTTAAATACCCATTAGTTCTTGGTGTGCACTACAGGATAAATGGATTGAAATGTCACCTGTGAAGTGCAGGAGGCAAGTCAGACAGCTTCTTCTAGCCTAACCTACACATCTACAAAACACTCCAACTGTTCACAGCCAACCCTGGTGACTAAACACAGAGAAAAAGGTTTCTGCCACAGGCTCCACAGGTGCAGAGCTCCTTGCTTTCCTTGTGCAAACTGCCCAAAGGCAGGGATGTGCTGCCCTCGCATCCACCCACACAGCCGCTCGGGACTCACGGCAGCAAGATGCTCGTGCAGTGGTCTGGTGCAGGGGGAAGGAACACACGTCACAGGGGCAGGGTGCTCACAGCAGCACCTTCAAGAAGCCTTTTACACCAATTTATTTCCATACAGGGTGGTTAAAAAAAAAATAAGAAGCCCCTATTGGTTGTTCATACAGAAGTCTGGGATTCTATATGCTTTTGGGTGGGTGACTGATTTTAAAACCCAACAACATGCTTTTTTCCCTTGCCTTCTCATTCTCTTCTGAGTCAGCCTCCATGATCCAAAGAAACTAACAAGTGACACACAAGACTAGCAGTCATGTGGACCAATAAAAAAAAAAGGGGGAAGAAGAATTGAAGACGAAGAGAAAGGGAAAAACAAACGAAGATTGAAAATAAAAATTCGCCAGGATAATGCGTTTTATAAACACAGAGATAGAAACAGTTACAGCAAGGACAGAGCGGGCCAGGGGTGGGGAATAGATATTTATATATATATATATATATAAATTCAAGGGGCCTTCAGTTTATTCTTGTTGGCTCCCCCTTCTCATTAGATTGGTCTCTCTGTGGGGATCTTCATCCCCTTCTCTCCACTGTCCACCTTTTGGGGATTCTCTCCCATGACCAGGGTCCAGAAGAGGCCACCACTGCCGTGTGAGTCCAGCCCGTCTTGGCAAGAGGGAGCCTGGGAGAACACTCTGGCGGGAGGTGAGCAGGAGAAGCTAGCCTTTCCCTGCCTCCTGCTGGCTCCTTGAAAAGACTGGTCTATTCCTCCTCCTCCTCCTCCTCCTCTTTCCCTTTGGGAAACTGAGGGCAGGACAGGTGTGTGAGTGCCAGAACTACTGTCATTTCCACCTTACAGGAAAGGGAGCAGAGAGAAGGGTGATGATTATTTTGGCAGTCTCTTAGCCCCCCTCTAGTTGCTTTTTGGTTTGTTGTTGATGCCTGCAGGCTTTTCTGAGGAGGTGGGAGGAAAAGCAGGAGGGAGAGGAGGAGTACAAGCTGCTAGGATATCATCCACAACAGGCAGGAAGAGCAATGAGCAGGAACCCACATTCCTACGGGGCCTTGGCCATCGTGCTGCTCAGACAGCTGGGAGAGAGAGGCAGCAGCCAGTTCAGACAGACTCCCCTCTATTGCTCTCCACCAGGGGAGGAGAAAGAATGCAATACTCCACAGCCCTTGAGCAGTGCAGGCACCTGTCCGTCTCAGAGAACATGCCTCACCTCTCCCCCCTCCACTGGTCTCACCTTCCACTGGGGAGAAGGTTTCTCCCATCCAGTCCTTGGGGCAGGACGAGCGACCCCTCCTCCCTTTCTCAAGCAGGAAGGACAGGAATGGATATTTCTCTCTTAGACACTCAAGGCAATCCTCAAAGAACCCCATCCAGCTGTGAACCCTGCCACATTCTTCTGTGGCCTGCTGAAAACGTGTCCAAGCCCCTGTACGTACAAGGGCCATCTCTCCATCCCATCCACCGTGTGTCTCAACACGCAACCCCCCTTCATACGCATCCTACAGTGAGAGAGAAGGCAAAACAGGGGCCTTTCTTTGGGTTTGAAAGGAGGGGCTCTTGCATGAGGAAGTGATCCCAGCACAGGAAAGGGGCTCTTGCACAAGGAAGCATCCTCCTACCAGGCAGGCTGTTGCACAGAAGGAGCACCCCCTTGAGACAGGCTGTTGTTCAAGGGGCTGCCATGAACAGGGTTACACGGCCAGAAGAGGCTGTTGCAGGAGGAGAGGCCGGAGACTGTTGCACAAGGAGGGCCGCTGCACAGGCGGTGCCCCTGGGCACAGGCTATGCACAAGAGGCGTTCTGCTCCCTGGGTTGAGGTCTCTCTAGGAGCTGGAGAGGTGCTCCACTTGGATGGCGCTGGTGCTGACAGTGAGGCAGATGTCCTTGTGATGCTCTGAAGTCTTGTAAGGAGTCAGGTCAAAGGAGCACTGGGGGGGAGGATTGGGTTGGTTAGTGTCTCCAGAAGGGCCCCCTGCTGCCCCCCCGCCCTGCGGCTGGAAGTGCTGCTGCTGCTGCGAGGCCTGGGCTTGTGCCTGAACCACCTGCTGCTGGGGGTCAGGGATGTTGTGTTTCCGCATGTGCTTCATCAGGTACGTCTCCTGCAACGGGAAGAATGGTGTGAGAGGAGGGAACAATGCTCACAAAAGCCAAGGCCAACAGGGAGGGACACAGACAGCTCAGGGGGCTGCTCCCATTAGATCTGGAGGAGATGCTCCCTGAGAAGTGTGCCCACTTCTGCCACTCCCCAGGGCAGCAAATACTCACCGAGGTGTAGGCCCGGCTGCAGATGGAGCAGGTGTAGACCTTGGCGTGTTTCACCGTGTGCGTAGCCAGGTGTACCTCCAATGAGGCAGCATCCGTGTACGCACGGTGGCAGTTGTGGCACTTGAAAGGTTTGTCTTTGTTGTGCTGCCGTCTGTGGGACTGCGCGGCAGCAGTGGGGAGCGAAGAGAAAACAAGCACAAGGAAGGAAGTCAGTATTAGTACTGGAGATGGCTTTATCTCTGACACCCCTTTCCAGACAGGCCCCAAGCTCCCTAGGCTCCTGACTGCTGAGGAAGGTATGGCTCCTAGCATAGGGGACAGAGCTTCTCCCACCAGCCCACCACACCTTCCCCATTCACACCTTCCTTTTTCTTCCCAGGCACAGTAGGCATCTCTGGACAGCAGACTCCTAACGCTCGACAACCCCTATCTTAGTTTCCATGCAACTCTTTCTCAGTCTTTTCCTTTTCTTGGTCTCTCCTCTTCTGCCTCCATACACATTTGCTCCCTGCATCTGATACCTTCAGGGCAGGATTTGCTTTAACTGCTTGCAGGTGTTTACAGCTCTTTGCTATTTGGGACACCCTGTAGTTCCCCTCCTCCAGGATACTGCAACAGGACACACCACTTCTGCTTTCTTAAATCCCTACCGTTATTCACTCCATATCATTGTCAAACAGACAAAAAACCCAACCAAATACCCAGACTTTATTTGGTGTAACAAACATTTTGCAAGTCTTGCTCCAACAAAGTTAGAAAATTGCAGAAGAGATGAGAGGGACTTTATCAAGGTCTCACTGTTTTCAAGTCAAGTTTACAGTTTTACAGGATGCAACCATTTATGTGACTTCTTTGGGTCACTACTGCCACAAAAGTCAAGAATTTCTCCTGGGCCCAGGGCTTCAGTAGCTTTTCTGTATTATTTCACTCTCTTCCCAGCTGCCCCAATTCTTCCACCTCCCCCAGCACTGGCATCCTTGCCACCCCCACTGGCAAGCAGGACACATCCAGACCCTTACCTGCAGGTTGGAAAGCTGGGTGAAAGCCTTTTCACACCCAGGGTGAGCACATTTGTAGGGTCGGTCCCCGGTGTGGATACTGTTGAGGAGGAAGAGCACATATGGGAGGCAGTGAGCAGGCAGGCAGGGCAGGCTGCCAGGGCCTGATGCTGTGATCAAATCTCACAGCCACTCAGGAGAGCAGGGAAAGGGATGATGTTGCCTCCAGATGCTGTTCTATCTGGACATAGAGCTCTGCCCAGCTCCCATGTCCAGCTAGAAGTTAGAGAAGACAAGCAGTCAAGCAGATTTCAGAGAGTGACTAGGGCTGAGGAGCAAGAGCTTATGAATGAATGCCTTGCCAGCTCAGCATGTGGGCCACCTGAAAATGTGTTGGGAAGGGGTCTGGAGGTCCAGGCTCCCTGCTCCAAACTCAGGAGTCCCAAATGACCTGTTCTCTTGCTTCCACAGTACCAAGAAAGCAGCTCTGTTCCTTCTCAGAATAGACACTCCAACACTTTTCCCTTTACATAACAGGCTGAGATCACCTACAGTGTTAATCTGTCCCTGTCCCCCTGCAATGCCAGGAGAAGCTTCCACACACTCAGTCCAACCCCCGTGGTGCCAGGCTGGGATCCCCTACAGCCAATGCCTCTCTCTCTATCGCTCTCTCTCTCTGTGCCACCCACGGTGCAAGACCAAGGATCCCCAGGGACAGCACGTGCCCACCTCAGCCCTGACGTGGTCAGTGTCTCCTGCGCAGCCTCCACTCCGTCCACTCTGGTGGGTCACCTCCTCCTGGGGGTGCAGCCGGCCGCATTCCCCGCCCGCCCCCCGCATGCTTGGCGCGCGTGCTCCACAGGTGCATGCCGGCAGCGCGGGGGGGCCAGGGCCAGCCCCCAGCCTCCTCTGGCCCTTACCGTGTGTGCTGCTGCAGGTGGGAGAGCTGGCGGAAGGCCTTCTGGCAGTAGCGGCAGGTGTAGGGCTTGGCCCCCGAGTGGATGCGGAGGTGCTGGGCCAGGTAGGATGTGTTGGCGAAGCTCTTGGAGCAGTGAGGACACTTGTGCGGCTTGACAATCGCCGTGTGGAGCTTGGAGTGGATCCTGCCGAAGAGGAGGAGGAGCAGCAGCAGTTGGACATGACCGCCATCTGGCTAGTGCTGATGGAATGAGGGCACAAAGGGGGTGGGACAGCACCACGCTATCTGCTACACAGAGGAACTTCAAACACGGCATGAGCTCGCTTGGTCTCAAACCGTGCTCCCCTTGGATTCAAGAGACCATGGTCTGTCTGCACCGGGGGAGGATCCAGAGAGAGGAACCATAGAGCTTGGACTGAGGGGCATTGGCAGACCCGTGTGTGGGAAGCCTACAGCTGAAATAGCAGGGGGGCTGCAAGCCTGGACTTGAGATGTTTGGCAGAACTATGCTGGGGTGACAGGCAACAGTCCTCCTATGCCAACACTACTCTCACTCTGACATAACCAGCCCTGCCTCCTGTCAGAAAGTGTCACTCCACCGCAGATGCCCCTCAGGCTGAGCAGCGCCAGCCTCTGAGCACACCCAGCCCCTCACAGCCAGGGCCGAGTCTCATGTGTCAGATACCGCTACTGCCGATTTGTCGAGTACCAGACCTGACCGGCCTGTGAAAACCAGCAAGGTCTCCTCAGGCAGTCGCCTACTGAGGGTGCTCACAGCATGCTGGGATGACGGCAACATGCAGTGCAGAGGGCCCCCAGCCTCCTCCAGCCCTTACCGTGTGTGCTGCTGCAGGTGGGAGAGCTGGCGGAAGGCCTTCTGGCAGTAGCTGCACGTGTAGGGCTTGGCCCCTGAATGGATGCGAATGTGCTGGGCCAGGTAGGAGCTGTTGGCGAAGCTCTTGGAGCAGTGAGGACACTTGTGTGGCTTTGTCTCCGTGTGGGACTTGGAGTGGATCTGCATCTCCGACTTGGAGTAGAAGGTCAGCGAACACATCCGGCACCTGGGACCGGGGTGAGGGGAAGAGACAGTGTCACATGGGGGTAAGCCCCAATATGGATCAATTCTAACTGGATGGGATCTTCCAAATGAGTGAAGAAGGGATATTTTCTCACTATGTGGTTCTGGGGAGGTTTCACCTGGGACACTGCTCAGCTGCATGTACTCCAAGGGCACAAATTTAAGCTAGGAACTGGCAGAACAGACCACACGATACCTTGCAGCCAGACAAGTAAAGGTCTTGGAAGAAACCAAAAGGCCAATTTATTAGGCTTGCAAGAGAGACAGGGCACTACTTTGGAAATTTTCCAATAGCAATCCTGAGGGGGCAGTGATAATTCCTAGACAAAAACCCTACTTTGTTCATCTGCGATTTATTTCAGTCAAAAAAAAGCTTGAAAAACCTGGAAATCTCAGGTTAAGGCTCATCTTCATAACAGAAGTTAATTCCATGTACTGCCAAGTCCACAAAAGCAGTTATGACCAAACCCACTTAACTCTGTTCCCATTTTTGGAGAAGACACTGGAGAATTTAAAATACAAAATGCTGAGAATAACAACAGTGTTGCTTTCCTAGTCGATGTCACAAAGATACTCTGGATACCAAATGTGGTATTTCATTGGTCTAATGGGCTTTCATCATTTCAGTCTTACTGATATGATGCAAAATGTTTTGCCTGGGAGTTTGGATCCATCTGTTCCCATAACGATCAGAAACATATCTGGTAAAACACTGACTCTTTGAACAGGAAGAAGCAGTTGGCATCTCTCTGCTATGGATGCTGCTGTTAAAAACTGTTCCTCCACCACGTCACCAGGCTGTTGAGAGAGGCTCGCACTGTTTTACAATTCAAGATGCTAAAAGCTTTTGTGGCTGATAATTTGACAGAGAGATAGAAGCTGCATCCAAGTTACTGGACTTCCCCCTCCCGCCAGCCCTCAAATCTGTGTCAACCAAGGGGCACAGTTAAGGGTTATCTGAACCTAGGTTTTCCATTTTCAGACTTTTCAATTAGAGACAAAAATTGAACCTGCACATCTAACTTCCCGGGTCACTTTTGAGAGAAGAAATGCCACGCAGAGGAAGTCTGGTTAACATGAATTCAACCTTCACAGTGTTTTTGTCTGGGAATTTCCTCTAGTTTTACAAGTATTTACAAAACTGCTCAGTCACAAAAGTCTCTGCAGGTATTAGAAGCCACAGAGAGCTGGTCCTGCTCTTCCCATATCCATCTCCTTGAAGGAAAATACTTCATTACATCTACTGTTGTGACTATTTATGTTGAAGCCAGAAGCTTTATGAAGTGTGCAGTCTGATTAGTGCATGTAATGTAGGCAGTACTTATCCAGCACCTACCTTAACTTCCACAGGCCCTTCCAAGCCACAGCCTGATTTCAAGCCATGTAGCTGAAAGCCATGCCTCCCTAGCAGGCACTCCAACACACAACTGCTGTAACATTTTCTTCCTCTCCATCATCATTCTTTTACATTCATTATCATCTCTAACAGTTGTTCCCACATGTCCTACCTTCATCTTTCTCTTAATCCGTTTTAATTGCAAACCCTAACAGAACATGCAAGCTAAATACATCCTTAGGTAAATCCCTCCTCACACACACACACATCAATCCCTCCTGAAATCAACAAACAGAAGCAATTTGGCTGTTTATCCCTACATCTATGAGATATAAGGAGTAAAAAGGAACATCAGAATGATCCTTTTAAAAACGTAGCTCTTGGTTTACAAATCAAACACTTGCGCAGTTTGTTCCAGACTTCCTGAAATGCTGGACTTGAATACGGCCTACGTATCTTGCAGTTATCAAGTAGTACTTACAGGGATGATGACTGTGTATCCTTGAAAGCAGCAACGTTAGAAAGAACTTTAAGGTGAATACTGAACTGAAAATTACCTTTGAGTCACCAAGTCCAGTTCGCTGCTAATGCAAGCAATTACAACATAATCCCCTGCGTGACTTTTATCAAGCTCCTTCTCAACCAAACCCCATTCCACAACATCATTCCTCTGACAAGGAACCATTCAACTGAGAACAACCTCCCAGTGTAATGCTGTGCTAATATGGCTCACCAAAACAAAGGGGAATAGCAGGTATCATTTTTGTCAACAGGACTGGAGCAACTAATCGTGGAACAGCGTGTCTAATTCTGAAGTCCATGTCACCAACAATCACTGAAAAACTCAGCAGGCTCAGCAAACTTAAAGAATGATGGCATGTGGAAAATGGGCTTTGCAGGAAAGATTCAGCAACTCCTGTCTAGGTTTGGAGTAAAGCTTAAAAGATAACTTGGTCAATACCCGAATAAATCTATCTAAGGAGAAAAATATCAACTATCAGAAGCTTGTTTTATGAACAAAGAAAGGTATTATGAGAAACAATAACTGACACTAGAAGTTAAAAACCTAAGAGGAAACAGGCTTTTCCCAACCATGTGAATAATGCATCTTTGGAACAACATTCGGAGGCTACAGCATCGTGTCAATGACTTGGCCCTTACAATCAACATTTTGAGAATCCAGCTGCCTTTCTAAGAGAAATGCCCTTCTAAAGGTTTTGCTCTAGTTTAAATAGAATACTGGGCATTAATCTTATCTGTGCTGAGCACATGACTCTATATTTTAAATAGTCTATTCCGATCTGAAAAATTCATGAACTTTACCATTCCATCAAGTCTAAGTAGTCCCATGCATTACATCTGCAGTGCCATAAAGCCATCTACTTTATTTTCCATAACTTCTGCGCATCCTTTACTTATTTGCTTTGTCAGGTACCTGCCTTCAGGACATAAATTCCATAAAATGAAAGTTTAATGAAACATCCTTTTCTATTTTCAAAATAAAATTATGAAGGTGTTTCAAAACCTCCCCAGCACTTGCATAAAAATGATAAACCTGTTAGCAAAATCATCCCTAAAAAAAAAAAAAAATCAAAAGAAAACCCTGAAACAAACAAACAAACAAAGCCATGTTGTCTGAACTTAACAGCAACAGACATTCTGATACTGTTTTTCAAACAACATTTAAAAAGAAAATCTTGTGAGGACTCATTTTCTAATTATCTAATTAGCATCGACCCTGAGAGAGCAAGAATGTTATACAGCATTAACAAATTCATGAGCCTTATGAGTTAAAACAAGCCATGGAATATAGCAGAAAGCTCTATTTCAGAGTTTTATATTGTGTGGTATCAGGTTTTTTCAAGGGAACAAATGATCCATTTAATTAAGGCCTTTGCATTCTGCCTCAGACAACATCAAATATTAAAGGGGAAGATGCAATCAGCCCTCTAGTGGGCAAATATGGATTCAAAAAAATGTTAAATTTATATGGATAATGAGAACATCCCATCTGATACTAGCAGCATTTCCAGTATTCTATTTCAGTGAAATTCTCCTGGTTGGAGAGAGGAAAAGTAGGGAATGCTCCTTGCTAAGCATGAATAAAGCACCATATGAAGTAATTGATTTTTCCTCCCCTTCCATTTTTAAAAAAAATATCCATTTTTAATATTGTCTCTCCACTGTGCTTCTAAACTACCACTCCTTTCATCATATTCTTTCTGAGAGCAAGTAGCAGAAATGACTGCAGCATTCCCATTGACAGTGTGACACAACATCCCTGCAGCTGCCTGTTATGGCTCTGCAAATTCAGACAGCCTTGAGGAAATATCCTTAATAATACAGAGGCTCATATCAATAGTCAGATTAGCATTCAGCCATATGCCAGAGATCAAAATTAACCCCTTCCAATGTTTATAATGCTTTCTTTTTATAGGGAATCTGCAGGGAAATACAGGGAGACATCAGAGAACGTTCATGTTAGACAGAAACACCCTCAAAAATCATGAAATGCCAGTAAAAGGTGTATGTACAATTCTAGTTCTGCTCCCATGTGAAAGTCATCACGATGAGTCATAAACAAAATGATGCTTATAGCAACTAGACTACAACTCTGTGGCACACAGTGCTGTATTTTTTTCCACTTTTCATGGAATGTTCCGCCTCATTCATCCGATGCTGTTAGGAGATAAAATACCATCTGAAATACCAGCTCATAGTAAAATTTGCCTGACGTGGATTAACAGCCTTTTTCAATCAAGCGCTTAATTAATTAGTATCACAGTTGTGAAAACTATGTAAGCTTTTACAGAGCTCTGAGAGTTCAAATTCTTAGTATCTACTGAGATTAGTCTTACAAGTTTAATTGAGTCCTTGCTCCTTCTGTTAGGCTACAAATACAAGTTAGGCCACAAGTTAAAATAAAAATCAAAACAGGAAGGTCTGAAGTTAAACTAGATGGTAAGAGTAAGTTTAGGCTGTCAGAGTCAGCAGTTCGTTTAGCAAGGAAACGAACCTACTGTCTTTGCAATGCAGAGTTAATGAAGTAACTAATGCAAGCATAGCATAATAATGGATGCACAGTTCATGATAAATGCTAACTTAACCTCGCATTCCCCTGATTTTTTTTTTCTTAAAGCTGAAGTTAAACATTTTCTTGTTAATATTTTGTAAGAGGCAAGGGAAAGGAGACAAAAGCTACACAGGTAGAAAACTCGGGTAACACCTAAAGAAAGTCAGTGAGTAGTAAGGTGCCAAATGAAAGCATGTGAACTGTACCTCTGCTTCCACACTGGCACAACCAGCATCAGCTGCTATTCAAAAGGCAACGCTGCACCTCCATGTAACAATTTACACTACTGGCATGTATATCAAATCTATCAGCCACGCTCAGAAATCTCAGTCAACTTATTTCCACAGTCCTTCAGTCACCTGGTGGCTTGATAAGGCTGCAGAAAAGCACACTCTCCTGGCACGGCAGTGAGTGTTTTTAAATGCTCTCATCATACGGCACTTTCCCAGTTCTCAGATTTGAGGGCATTCCTGCATTTTGTCCATTTTTCAAATGACCTTAAAAATACCAGACCCAGAATTTTGTGGTATTTCAGCATACTTCACAAGTTGCCTGCCTTCTTTTAATGACTCTATTATTTATGCTTTCAACAGTTGCACTTACCCTTTTCTGTCACGGTTTCGCACTGGGAGCTTTCATGATTTCACTTACTTCCTAAAAGTTTTTTCCACAGTCATTGCGTTCTGGGATACTGTTCCTCCATATTCCTTATCTTTAGATCAAAGACATTCAATAGCATCCAACAGGACACTTTTGTCTGATAATGTTTTCCACTGTGTCCAAATACCTGCACCTCAATCCCTGACTGCTGGAAAAGTCACTCAGTATTACCCAAAAGGCTAAATCTTCCATTGGGCTGTATTAAAATATATTTTGTCTGAATACTTCTAGTTTACAACCACATAAAGATCCCCTTTTCTTTCAGTGATCCACCAGAATTGCTTTTATCTTTATCAGTCATGACTTTCTGTTGACCTTCAAATCATTGAATATCAGGCCTAAGACAGTCTACTGATTTTTGAAATCGGTCACCATTAGCATAAAAGACCAACAAAACAATAAAACACAATAAGGTATTTCCTGATACAGTGATAACATACAAAAGATAAAATTAAAAAAATACAAAAGGCCCATTAGAAAGCACTACAGCAAATTTGGAAACACCAGGATTAAGTTCATCCATGTCACCATAATTTGGCTCTGCAATGCAGGTGCATTCTGATACAGCCTTATTGACTGTTTTCACAGAACTGCATCCTTATTATGTTGCACAGACAGATACTTAACAAAAAAGCATTCACTGTTTTCTATCACCATTCTCTGAACAGCCTCGAGTCTTGTCGACCACATGCAATTCCAACCTCATGAAGCAGAATCACTCATCTGTTGTGCCCATCACAGAAATACCAGTTCTTTATAAACACTCATCTATACCCACAATGTCCCTGATCTATTTTTTGTAAGCAAAGGGAGTAAAACACAGTAAAAGAGACATATCCACTAATTTCGAGTGGCCAAATCAATACCTGTGAGCACTTTTTTTTCTTTAAAGGAAAATTCATATTATATACATTCACATCACAGCTCACTTAAGTGTCTATGCTATAACTATGAGATGCAAACCTTTTGCAAAGCAAGACAGGGTCTGACCTGTATTCAATGATACTTGAGATTACAATTTTGAGAAGACCAAATGTTAATTATTTCAGGATAACTGTCTGTGGTCACTCGTAGCCTGTGACAAACGCAAATCCACTGAAGACTAGACCTAACTTGTATTTGCACACGCTTCAAGGCAAGATTATCTACAGACCTGAACCACATGACTGTAGAATAACACAGCAATCTGAGGCAGAGGCAGGCATAATCTACAGTTCTTCATACCAGCAGTCAAATGCCTTCCCCAAACCATCCTTCTCAATTCTGCAACCCCATGTCAATGCATTTTGTTTTCTTTTAATAGAATATTCCTTTCATGTTATCTGAGTAAACATGCAGGACTCTGACAGGCCACCATCTACCAATAACTAATCAAGGATGGTATCAAAGTGCATTGACTCAATAGGGCCCAATTAAGGTGTGATCAGATAAGATGTGCAACAAAATAGTTTCAAAGTTCTCTCTCCCTGTTTGAAACTGTAATTGTCCCCCTCACTCCCCTTGCACACACTCCTTCCATTGACACACAAGTAACTTGCCAAAGTTAAAATCATGACTGCAGAACCTTTCCTGTTAATTCTTTCTGCTTGGCACTCTGATGAACTGCCAAGTGAGAGCACGTACATGCATGCACACACACACACAGTTACAATATCTCAGCAGAAGGGAGAGAACTTACCATAACTCAAGTTTTTTACCTTATTATATATCCTGAGGCATGTGACCAGTCTAATTCTGCCATTTTCTAACCTCCAAGCACTGTATTCATACACAAAGCAAAGCTTATGTGTACAAACTATGTGTGTATCTGTAGATGTGCATGTGCACCTGTCCTCCTTAAGAGTTTTGAGATCATAAGCCAATTTCAACCAATCTGGAAAAAGGGTAAGGATCTTAAAAGTTAATACAAGTCTCAAAAATACGCATCCGGGGAAAGAAGAGAGACTCTCTTGGAGCCCTCTGCTGAGGGAAAGGCTAGTAAGCTCACCCTTGATTAGACATCAGAGAATCCACACAGGAGAGAGCCGCTGGAAACCAGGCTTCATTAGTTCCGCTGCTCACGGAACCACTTGTTAAAAAAAGCAAACAGAAATTCCAACATGTGGCATCATACTGACACCCATGTTGGTCATCAGCAATCTTAAGATCCACTGCACAGACCTCTGCCACTGCAGCTAGGATGATAAATGACAGCAATGATACCTTGTCACCTTTTTCTAGCCTTAGAGGGAGATGAGGTTCTTTGCCAGAGGAGGTCATATTCTTGTGTTGACCTCAAAGACATGGCAAAATTTAGAAACATTGGGTTTAGTATTTCTAGGCTTTGGAGGGAATGTGGTCAAACTTTCTGCCTGACATTCCAAGCTTAATTCCCCCTTTGCCCTTAGCCTTCTAGCCTGTAGCAATTGCCCTCTCCCGCACCAAAAAGCTCAAGCTTTTTACCCACGTGTGCCAGCCTCTTTATCTTTTACTGCAGGGACTCTTCCCTATTTCATTCCCTCAATTGCCTAACATTTGTCTCCTCTCCCCCATGCTTCTATTTGTCTGTTCATATCCCATACTATCGTCCCTCTGTGTTCTGCCAGTTCTAGGTATATCCTCATTTTCCAGCACATAGCAGATCTGGGTCTTTCTTCCTCCTGCTAGTCTTGGCCCTTCATAGCTTATCCCTGTGCTACCTCCCCCATTTCTCCCTTGCAAAGAGGCTCCCCATCCTCTGCTGCATTCCCTAGTTTGTACGCTCTTATCTTTTCTCTCTCCTCCTTTCCGATTCCCATCTCTTATCTACCAAGTATCCAGATTTCCTCAACACAAACAGCCCCAATCCCTGCACATATCTCTCATTCTCATCCCTACTACATTTGAACCAAGTGGTGTCTTCTCACACCTTGCCTCTGTGCCCATCAGAGGGGGGAGACTGCTGTCCACACTGGGCACTAAAGACTTCCTTCTGAAGCAGCAGGAGGAGCAGTCGTGACTGAAGGGAAAGCATGCTTGGCCCTTCAGTGCTAGCCTAGGAGATGCCTATGGCTCCAGAGGGAGTACACATGTAGTCCAGCCTCGTACAGAAACTGAGAGAAGTTAGAGTGTGTTTATCTTTTCTGTGGAGATGGAAGTCTGGTCACTGCCTGGAGCCATGCAACCCTCAAGAAACGTCAAAGAAGATATAACTTTCACATATTTCAACCACAAAACTATAAAGCATCTCAGAGCATGCTTAACAGATTTTTTCCAAGCTTACAAATGGGCAAATTCTACAATATTCTCGCAGACATACATGGCTTACAAAAGCCAGATTTCAAAGTCTGTTTGAAACCATGGGAAACTGACCAAACAGCCATGGCTAAATCCAGGGCAGAAAAAAAGGCCTGGAATCAGACATGTCTGAGAATATGCCCACCTGCTGTATTCAAACCACTGGCACCCAGGTGTATGTAATCTTCTCACTGATGAGGGCCTCCATCCAGCTTCCTCACCTTCTACAGCTCAACTTGCTAAGGCTTCTGTACGCTTTTGCACCTTGGACTTGTCTCTGGAAGTTTCCTGTGTCCCTCAGCTGCTTATTGTCTCCCAAACCCCCTGCTGTTTCCCAGTGAAAGTAGGGAAACTCAGAACTTGAGGTGGGTAAGAGAGAGCTTGTCAATCACACTATGATGGTCAGGCCCTTCCCAAGCCTACAACCTTTCTGTTGGTATCTGAGGCTCCAAAGCACAGCTCGCAAAAACATTCCGGACTATAAATTGGTATTTGTCCTGGATTTTACAAACTTTATACTGGAACCAAGCAACACCTATAGAGAGCTCTTTTCTCTTGCAAAGAAACTATTTAGAGAACTGTCAGAGAAGCCTGATCATCTGGCCCAGAGAGGCTGAACCACTTCATCAGTCTTGTCCACTGATCACATCACAGCACAGACTTCTAAAGCACAGAGGTACAGGCGCCACAATACTAAGAAACAATACTACTGTATCCAGGACCTGTTTGTTCTCTTTTCCTCAGCACTGAGAAGCAGCCACGTGCTTCACACTTCACATCTTACTAGAAAGAATCTTGATGCTGATCTCATTTTTCACAGAAAAAGTGAATTCTACAAAGACATCAGGGAAGATTAACGAAGAGTTGACAACAAATACAGACAAGACTGAAGTGACATTACTCATGACAGAAAATGCTTCACAGGACTGGGTTAGATGCTGTCCCCTGTAGGTGCAAACATTCTTATAACAGCACAAAGCAAAGCACCAAGGACTCTGCCAGACTAATCCTAAGGCTAGATGTCCAAGATATGCAAGCAATGCCACCATTAGCAAAAGCCTCACGCCTTTTCTTGAAAAGAAAGATCTAGTCACAAAGATTCTTGCGCAGCTTTCACAGCAGCCTACTAATTCACTTCTAGGGATGATACAGCAGCAAAACAGCTGCAATGTGCTGGAGCAGGAATCTCTACATTTAGCAGAGAATGGGATGAGCTGCAATATATCAAGGTTTGTGCTCCAATTCCTTCTGCATCTGCCTGGCTGCGCTTCCCCATTCAAGGCCTTACTCTGTCTTTATCACCACAGCAGGAGTCAGGAATTATGGATATTAGCCACATGCCCACACACTAAAGACAAGAGAGCTCACAGAGCTCAAAAAGAAAACGTGAAACAAAAAAATTAATTAAATTTGACAAAATAATCTCAGGCTTTAGGAATCGGGTATTAAAACAAAAAAAAGCCACGTTGATCAATATAGTAAAACTCCTTCCAGGTATCTGAATAGATTATTCTCAGTGTCTCATCATAGGAATCAGTGAAATCATACAAATGTAGTCATATGAATACCAACTCCTCCTCCAGCCTGAGAAGGGAACAGGAGTAGATGAACCTCACCCACAGTCTTAATTTAGCTGGGATATGTCTGCATTCTGTAGTGACGGGAACTACTGAAATCATCCTCTAGAATACAGAAAGAACCCAGCAGTCCTCGAAGTCTTAACTTGCGAGTCTATTCATATGCATATTATGGAGCAACAATTTTACTGTATTTCACAAAGGTTTTCTCTCCCACAGCTCCAAGAAAAGATAGCGTTTTCCTTTATTTTTTCAACAATCATTTTTAGTTCCAAACTTGCACATAGAAAGCATCAGCCAACGAGGAAACCCCAAGGAAGGCAGAAGCACTCCTTGGTGGTCTTCAATAAACCTCAATTTAGCTATCCCACACCTTAGCACTGCTCAGAGGAAGGCCTGCTTGGGAGGGGGGCTGGAGGAAGAGGCAGAGGTACCACACTCAGACTAAACATAACAACAGGAAATCTTCCCGATTACATGTTCCTACATATAAACTCATTCATTTTTTCCCTGCAAATTCTATTCCATGAGCTGTTAAACAGACTATGCGTGTTCATAAAGTTTCTGCTGAGTCACTCCACCTGGTCTTGGGTATTTTTTTTCCAAACTTACAAGTAAACAAGGAGCTATAATTAAAGCCTTGGTTCAGCTTTAATTCTAGTGTTCACTGCCAATTGTGTCCCCTGTAAATACATATTTAACAACCTAATTAGCAACCCAGACTGTAAGCAGCTTGAGAAGTGTGGAACTGTGGCTATGGCCCAAAATAAATGGTGGGATTACAAATAGCAAGCTACCTAACACTCCCACCCCTCTTCACCATACGCTGATTATATTTTCAAAGTGGAAGAACTGGGACATTGGGTAAGAGAATAAAAAGGCTGATCCAAGCTCTGGTTTTATATCCATTTAACTAACTGTATTGATTAAAAAAAGTAAACATTTAAAAAATGCTATAATTTAAAGTGAAACAGTGCCCGAGGTGGATGGACCGATTCTGAGTAGATGACTTCATATTGATATGGCTTAATTCTAGAAACATAATTAAATTTGTATCAAAAAAAAAAAAGGGTTTACGATGGCAAAAGGGAAACTTTGAGACAGGATCTTGGGCACATTGTAGGGAAGTGAGAAGACATAGGACCATCTACTGTTTCTGTTTCCATTTGGCTGCTACTTCGCCTCTTATTTATCTTAATCATCTGTCAGAATCACCTGTCTCTGAATCACATAAGTGCTTCCCACCCAACACAGACCATCACATTTCCTCCCTACCACTTGTCTGCTCTGTATGGTTCCCACCTTCTCTAAAACACCCATACTCCTTATCCTCTGGTTTAAGTCCCTCCTAGATAATCACTGCCTTTCCCACCACTCGTAAACTCAAGCCACATCCCTCCAAGCTCAGAAACCCAACCTCAGGGCTCAGAACTCTCCTCCCTCTTATCCAATACACTCATGGTTCAGAAACACCCTTACAACTAATTCAAAAATGCACCTTTTTCCCCTCTTTTGTTTAGAATGCTGAAATAGGAGGAGATGACATGGGGCAATGCATACAGGAGCAAACACACGTGACAGTTCACTTCTTGCTCTGTGTGCCTCCAGTCTGTAGTCTTTACACTGGACAGACTGGAGCCCTAACTGAGGAGCACCCAGGTACACCAGGGCTCTCAGCTACACCAGACAGCACTGCACTCTGCAGTACACCAGCCTTACTATCTGGCTATGGCATCAAGGATACAGTTTGGCCTCCATAACATCCATTAACTAACCTAGGAACATTAATGACTATATAAGTCTACTAAGGAGATCCTTAGTTTTGGGTCGACCCACCAGCTTGCAAACATTCCTGATTAGAAAGAAAACTCAACTCTTTCTTGCAGCTCAAAGATTCTCTATTTAAAGACTCTCTAGGAAAAAGGCAGAGATCTCTTCTTCCCCATGTAACCCTCTGAAGGGTTACATCCCCATCCCCATGCAGTGTTACAGTCAAGGTTTAACCCTGCTCCCCACCTGTATGTCTTGCCATCCTTGTGCTGGTCCTCATCATCTTCGTTTGTCAGCACAAAAGGGTCGCTCATCTCTGGCAGCCCTGACTCCTGCAATCGTTTCTTCTTCCGGCCCCGGGGTGGTTTGGGGGCAATTCCCCCACCCCCACCGCCCCCACCACCTTCAGTGAGGGCAGTTGTCCCTTTCTTGGACAGGTCTGGAACCACCTGGAGGGCTGCCTGGGAGCCAGGGGGTAGTGCAGAGACAATCATGGGAGCTGAGATGGGAAAGGTTTGGGCAGAGGCGGCTGTGGTCACCAGGGAACCTGATGGGGAAGTTATCACCAGACCAGGACCTGCAAACAAAGGAAGATGGAGGAAGTCAGTTATTACATCTCCAATTATGCCCAACATCCTTATCCCACAGAAGCACCTACTTTTGACTACAGCACAAACAGAAGGGTAGCTTCCCCTCCCAATGTATTCCCAGTTTCCACTGCTGGAAGTCAAACTTCCATAGAGAATTTACAGTGAAATCACACCCAGGCAATCCACACCATCAATAAGGCTAAGAATAATCGACAGCCCAAGAAGGAGTCTCCAGGCCCTCCTGTCTCCCCACTCCAGAGTCTCCTCTGTATGCTGCCAGAGACTTTGGAGTGCCCTACCTGCTGTCATGAGCCCAGCAGACTGCACTGGTACCACGGTGATGTTCTGAGTCACAGGGGCTTGGCTGTGTGGTGTCAGCTGCTCTGGCTTGGTGTCCGAGTCCATGGAGATGCCAGTGGGCAGGGCCACAGAGGTGGGTACTGTCAGCAAGGCAGGGTAGTGGGGGGGAGCCAGGCTGCAGCCCTTCTCTGTAGGCAATAGCTGCTCCTTCATCTTGTTAATAAACATGGTGTTCTCAATCTAAACAGGCAGGAAGGACAGATTTTAGGATACCCTGGCACAACTTCACCCAGCATTTGGCTGAGCAAAAAACGCAACAGAAACACTTATATGTGGACTTCTAATGGGAAACAAGACCAACATAATAGGTTGGAAGATCTTACCTGTCCCGAGACAGTGGGCACTGCTGGCCAGAAGTACGGGGAGGAGTTGAAATGAGATTCTTCCATCCTAGCTGGGCACAGGGGGAAAGAGGAAAGGGGAAGGGAAGAGGAATGGAGGATAAGGAAGACAGACAGACAGACACACACAAAAAAAACCATTAAACCCAAAGAGACTCCAACATGGAACTGACTCAGTCTAATGCTGCGACAGTTCCTTAATTTCCCCTGTCATTCTTGAGCAGCCTCTCCCCCCTTCTGAGCTATCTGCCCAACTCAAAAAATTATTTTCAGGGGAAAAAGGCATCTGCTATTCCCATGGGCTTGGGTCCATCTCAAATGCCTCTTGCCCAGTAGTCCTCCATGCAAAATAAGGACTGACTAGAAACCTAGAAGACCTCCAAATTTTCCCAATTATCATCCACCCAAGTACATGGCATAAATGAAGTCTGTGCATCTGCAACCAGGCAAATACAGATGAAAGCCATTTTTCACTGTCACAGACAGTCTGATCCCACAAGCAGTGAAAATTTTGTACCTTGCCTGTCCCTCCACCCCAGCTCAACACTAAGGACCCAGATGCAGCAAAGGGACATTAGTATTATGTTACACAGGAAGAAAGACAGGCAGAGAGAGGGAAACAGACTTGCCCAAGATAACAGACAGCCACAGCAGACCAAGAAATCAAAAACTTGGGGCTCCTCACTTCCTACTGCCCACCCCAGCCCCACTCTTGAAAGAAAGACAGAAATATCACTCAATATTCCTGCTCTCATCCAATGAGACTAGGCCATGGGAAAATAACTGACTCTCCTGCTCCTGAGATACCCTGTTTCCAAGTGAGATCATGTCATGGCTCTCTATTACCCACTTCATTCCCACGTTTGGGACAAGATTCTGTAGGACTCTCTCCCCAGCCAAGTGCCCACTGCTCCACCTCAACTCTCCATGCACTGAGAGGACCAGTTAGACATCAAAAGAGAGTCTCCTGAACACAGAGGTGTAACCTCTTTAGGAACACCTGACTGAAGAAGCACTTTTCTTTCTAATCCTCACATTCTCTGTGTAATAAGTATTAGTGGACAAAGTTTGTTACACTTGCAAAAACGCTATTCAAAAACTAAAGAAATTAACAAAAGAATATTTCCTGAAGTAGAAGATATACCTATTCCTGAACAAATATGACAAAACTGGTGGGTAAAATACACATGGTAAAAACTATGCTCAGAGTACATCTGGCAGAGAAAGCAACCGCTGCAGGTTTCTCATGCAGCTGCCTGCAAACCATCCCACTCCTGTTTCTGCTACAGCCTAATTAACAAACCAATATTGTTTCTGAATGGCCTGCCTCAACCATCAGGGAAGCTCAGAGGCATGCCTCGAGTAGCATGAAACACTTCACAGAAGTACATCAGGGCAGAATAAATACATGTGGAATTGCTGCATGTGAGCCAAAATGCAAAGACAATTTTCCTCTATGTAGAGAAGCAGCATTTAAATGAACTAAATTACCCAATAATTTTGGTTTTATGAATTGCTCATGCAACAGCAAGGCCAAGTATTCCTGCCTCACTCACTCAGTGCAAATCAACCAATAAACACACTTAAGGATAAATTATTTACCTTACGTCATGGCATGCAGTCAGACTGCTCGCTGCCTGACTGAATTACTCTGGATTTACACTGCTGTGATTCAATCAGAGTCTGATGGGGCAACACTCTTGCCTTCCTTCCTCTGCTTTCTTTTCTGAGGCAAATTAATTATTAAGTACACTGCCCACAGCAAAGCCCTGTGCATGTAATGCTTAATTACATGACTTTTTTCTTCCACAGGATGGGCACACATGAAGAGAACACATTCTTGGCAACCGAGTACCACCTGAATGAAGAAGGGTATTTTGTTTGGAATTTCCAAGTTTGGGGTTTTTGCTTGGTTTTGGGTTTGTTTTTAAAATAAGTAAGTCCTTATTTTCTTAGCTTCCACATCAAAAACATCAAAGTGAACCTGATTCTCTAAAAACATGAAGTCTTATACAATAATTAGATGCATTTTCAAAAAAAAAACTTTGTAGCTCTCCAAGACTCCTTTGGACTCAACTGCAAACTTCAGGAGTTAAACAGAAAGATGCCAATTTAAGCAAAAATCTCACAGCAGCTTTCTTATTTAAAGAGTACAAGGAATGAAAGGCGAGTCCTCTCCAGATTCCAAAACGCAGACTAGCAAAGGCCAGGGCACTCAGTGGCTGCTTGTCTCCATCTAGTCCCCCTACCAGAGCTTAACAGAGCATCTAACTTTTGTTTGCTCAGTTTACAATGTGTGCAAGTCAAAATAAGGCTCTTATCGATTCTTCAAAGGACGACTACACTGTTTTTGTCAAACTCTCTCAGAATACAACTCTCCATCCAAAAATCTTCACACTCAAGCAGATTACCAGGCCTCAAAATTTTTGGCTGGAAGGGTTGAAGCGTGTTGGAGTTATAAGAATGTGGAGGAAAAGGAGAAATGGTGTAAGAGTTGAAGCTTTCATGCAATTTCACTAGCAAGGCAGTCTTCCAAAGGCAGAAAACAAAGGTAAGATTCCTCCACCAAACTACCGTCCTCGTACCCACAGCTGTCCCTCCCCTACCCCGCTTTTAGGCTGAGGGATATTTTGAAAACATGCACCCCTATTTGCAGCCCCCACTTCGACGCTGCTCACACTTACTTTACCAGAACTCTGCACGTAACCCTTCCAATTGCTCTATAACTATCAGACATGGGCTGGAGCTTCAACCCTGTACCACAGCACGTTCCCACTGCAGTGCCTTCATCATCCCAGCTTCCACAAACAGGCCAGAGATGGGACCTTCTTCCTATTCACCAGTCTAGTATCAGACAGATGTCAACGTACCCTCCTGATATAAACCAAAAACACTTTCTATGTACAGACCACAAATGTACAAACACCAAATAAACAACCCAGTGAACCAGAGAACTCACAAGGGACAAGGGATCTGGAGTTTAGATCTCACAGAGTACTTCACAGAATCACATACTTAATGTGCTGAATTTATACCTCTTGGTGGGTCACCACTTTAACCATAAACAGATAGATAAAAACACGTGCAAATACACGGTGAGGTACAGGCAGTGTTTCTGGAAGGCACAATCAAGGTTGGATATGCAGGTATTTATTCAGAGGTTGACTTTTAACACGGCTTTCTTTATTCTCCAGATACCTGGCTTTTACTTTCTATTTGGAGCAAAGTTTTCAGTGGACAAAAGGCCTTGAGTGTGACACTCGAGAAAGATTTAAACTTTGTTTTACGTCTGCCCAAGATCTTTGTTCAATAACAAGGAGCTTTTAGGCTTAATTGCAGCAAAACACTAGGGATGCTGAAGGCCACATAGGCTGTCAGATCAAAAGCAAAAATACCTCCACAGAACTCAAGAGGGCCAAAACGTTCAAGCACCGCTACACCTTTAAAACTCACTCCAGGAATGCCCCGAACGTGCAGGACAAAGCCCTGGATCCCAAACCCGCACCCCAGACACAGAACTTTGGTGCCGTTCCCTGGTAACGTGCAGCCTCCACCCCGACCCACCGAGCGCCTGTTGGAACAGGTGCCTGGCAGAGGGCAAACCCTTGGCCTCAGCTCCTTCCAGGCGCTCAATCCCTTCTCCCGCACCCTAGAGCTCCAAAGCCCTCAATTCCCCACCTCCGGGACCCGCGAGCCATTCCCTCCCGTCCCTCCCGGCGGGAGCCCCGGGGCAGGGGCGAAAGTCACTCACGCAGCTCCGGGAGCTCCTTACCCCTCTCACTCTCCCTCCTCTTGCATTTCTCCTCCTTCCAGGGCCGGCTCTGCAAACAAACCGCCTGGGTTACCGGGGGCCTGGTGTCCCGCATGGCAGCGCCGGGCGCTGCGCGGGCCCCGCGGGCCGGGTTGGCCTCGGCCATGTGCGGGACGGGCGCTCCCGCGGGGCCCGCACCCACCTCCACCTCCCCCCGCGCCGGCCGAGGGCGGGGCCGGCCCGGAGCGCGGCTGCCCCGCGACAGAGCGCCCGACACTGGGACGGACGGCGGGACAGACAGACACACAGACAGCCCTCCTCCATTTCCGCTTCCGGATCGCCCCGGCCCCGGAAGCCCCGCGGCCCGGCCCCCCGCCCGCGGCCCCGCCGCCCCGCACGTTACCGGGCTCCCCCCCCAGCGGCGGCCCCGACCCGGCTCCGGCGGCGGCGGCGGCCTCCTCACCGGAAAGAGCAGCGGCGGGGTGCTTCCGGGTCAGGGGGCGGTGCGCGCCTCGGTTCTTCCGGGTCGCCGAACGGAGCGGAACGGCGTCATCGGCAGTTTCGTGTGAAAGCGGAGCGGCGGAGCGGCGGCAGCCCGGGGCAGAGCTGCCCTCTGCGGGGGCACCGGCGGGTCCCCGCGGGCGGGGGTCGGGGCGAGGGCCGGGCGCGCGCGCGCTTACCGGA